CCCAAAATGCGCCCGGGGAGTGTCGATCGCGAAGGTGAAGGCGTCGGCGCCCCCCCAGCGCGCGAGACAGCTGCCGGAAGAGCGACCCTGAGGTGCTTTTGACACGGAGCAATGTCGCGGCACCAAGGCCACCCGCACGCGCCGCCAGTCGAAGCGGCCTCACGCCGGGGGGGGTTGAAAGGGTGTGTGGTGTGTGGGGTGTGTGTGTGGAGAGAGGGGAGGGCGAGCCCGGGCCGGCGCACCAAAAGCGAGCAGGTAGGCGAGAGACTCGCCGGCGAGCCCGTCCTTGAAGGGTTTCGACTCGGGCTCCTCGTACTGGTCCGGCAGCACCTCCTGGGGGGAGGGGAGAGGGGCGAGTAGGGAGGGGGAAGGGCTGCGTCGGCTCGGGCGCGAGCGGGCTCACATCCTGCTAGAGTGAGATATGGGGGAGATATGGGGGAGATATGGGGAGGGCTCAGATCCTCCTAGAGTGAGATATGGGGGAGATATGGGGGAGATATGGGGAGATGTGGGGGAGATATGGGGAGGGCTCACATCCTCCTAGAGTGAGATATGGGGGAGATATGGGGGAGATATGGGGGAGATGTGGGGGAGATATGGGGAGGGCTCACATCCTCCTAGAGTGAGATATGGGGGAGATATGGGGGAGATGTGGGGGAGATATGGGGAGGGCTCACATCCTCCTAGAGTGAGCCAAGTCGAGCCGCGCCTCAAGCGCCTCCCGCTCCCTCGGGCTGTATGCATGCTCAACAGGCGCTGGTCATGCCGCCTCACTCATGCCGCCATGCTCCGACACATGCTCTGACGCATGCTCATGCTCCGACACATGCTCATGCTCCACTCCGTCACTCACCTCGAAGTCGCCGCTCACCGAGAAGCCTCCGAGCTCGCCCTTTTCGAAGTCGCCCATCTCGCGCGTCAGCGTGAGCTCGCCGCCGTTGTACTCGTCGACAGTGGCGTTGAGGTCGCCCAGGTCGATGTTGAGCATCGGCACGAAGGTGGGGAAGGTGCCTGGTGCGGCGGCAGGAGTTGGCTGGGGGAGAGGGTAGGGCGAGGGTAGGGCGGGGGGGGGGGGGGGGGGGAAGCCTCCAAGGGGCCGCCGGGAGGGCCCCTCCAAGGGGGGAGGGGGGGGACTCCACCTCCCCCTTCCGCGGGTGAAGTGTGGGGGAAGGGGAAGGGGTTCCAAGGAAGTCTTGCGGCCCAATACCCAAGGGGGACTCCGGGGGGGGAATAGGCCCCCAGGAAAGGCCCCGAGGGCCAAAGGGCCCCCCCCCCATTTTTGTCGGCAGCTCCCCCCCCTTGGTTTGGAGGCCCCCCCCCCCCTGGGGGGCCCCAAAATCCCCCCAGGGGCCCAAGAGGCTCCCCCTCGTGCCCACAAGGGGGTCAGGAGAAATTCCTCCCCTCCCCCAACGTAGGTGAACCCGGCGACCCCCCTGCCGGTGGAGAGCACGAGCCGCGAGGCATGCCGATCGGGTTCGATGCAATGTCGTTCACCGCGGAGGCCATAGCCCCTCCCGCAACGACCGCCGCGGCAGGAGCGCCGAGCGCGACGACCTGCGCTCCCACGCCTGCGGGGTCGCGCGGCGCGTGCTCATGAGAGCGGATCGCGGCGGCACGCTGAGCGGCGGGAGAGGCGCCGACCGTAGATGAGCGTTACGATGCCGAGGATGCCGGTGATCCAGGCGAGGATGATGGTGAAGAACTGCGCAGGAGGCGCTACGGCGAGTGAGAAGACGCGGCCCGTGAGGCACCAGAGCGCGTGGGCGAGTGGACACATCTACAGCAAGTGTGGCAAACAGGCCGTCACTATCGGGCTCGCGGCGAGGGATGCGGCCAGCCGCGCCTGCAGGAACTCCGCCATGAAGCTCTTGACGTACACGCCGGTCGCAGCCTTGACGACGGTGTCCATGGCGGCGGACCTTCAGTTTTGCGAGGCGCTGAGCTAGGTTGATCCGCTAACGACCTTGATGGCACGCGGAATATGCGCCGCCGCTTTTTGTGAGCAAATTTTTTTTTCATATGTGACGGCTAGCGCATCACACCCCTCTCCTTAAAATCCCTGTGTGGTGGCGGCGTGCCGTCCTCCCATCCCTCCCTTGGGTTGTCCGTATTCTTTCTTTCTTTCTGACTGCACTCCAAGTGCTCCAAGTGCTCCTCGCAGCTTTATTGCTCAGAGGGGGACACCCACCGAAGTCTTCACAGCTCTCAACAGATTGACCAGAAGAGAAAGTGTGACCTGGAAATACAGTGACACGCACGAGTATGGGGAGGAAAGCGAACGCGCACGACAAAGCGACACACATCCACTGACTGCACGCATGACACCCGCCATTGACACCTGTGACTGTGTGCGATCGCGGCCATCGCGCACGCAGCTGCACACCGAGAGGCGCGGAGAAAGAGGAGCGGAGAGATAAAGGGAGTACGGCTAAGGGAGCCAGAGAGAACGAGAGAGAGAGAGAGAGAGCTAGAGACCACACGCACACACCCACCTCTATACGAGAGAGAGAGGACTCTCAGGAGCAGCAAGGTCTTTGCTGTTGCTTTGGGGTGACAGCGCCAGTCCTGCCAACTGACGTCGACGCCGTACTGCGCTCCCTCTACTTGGCGCCGCGCATTGATTCGACGTGCTTCTTCGATGGCCGCGGCCTCTGGGGGGGCTCGAGCCGTTTGTAGGCGATGCCGCCGCTCTCCGGGTCGACGTCGGATGGCTTGGCGCTAAGCGCAATGAGCGGGTCCATGTCCTCCGCGGTCACCGCCCGGGCATTGGTCGAATAGGCTGCAAAGTCGACGCCGCCGCGGCCCGTCGCGCCGGTGACGGCCACGGCCCCGACGACGCCGAGGCCGAGGGCGTCGATGAGGCAGCCTGCGGCGGCACCGCGAGGGCGAGGTGAGAAGAGCTCTGGGCGGGGCAGTGAGCGCGGGGGGCCGGGGGGGGGGGGGGGGGTTCGGCGGCGAGGAGTTGCCGAGTCCGGGGATGGTGTGGACGAGCTCGTTTGCGCATTGGGCGAAGGAGCAGAAGGAGATCGTGGCCGCCGTCGAGAAGAAGAAGATGAGCGAGATGCGGACCGGGATGGCCCACGGCTGCCCGTCGTCGGAGAAGGTGTTGAGGCCGGGGACGTAGTCCTGCAGGTCGTAGTTGCCGTGCGTCTTGAACCAGTAGTTGTCGACGATCTCGTCAAAGTAGAAGATGGCTAGCGTGACCGCAAAGATGACCTGCTCTCGCACGGGGCGTGTGGTGAGCGCGCGTTGGCCTCGCGGGGTGGCGCCCTCCACGCACCCTCCTGGCGTCGAGAGGACAACCTCCCGGCTGGCGCTCAGCGGCACGCCCACCCGCCCTGTGCCGTCCGAGGCTCAATGACCGTATGCGTCGCTCGAGGTTCAGCGACGCACGGGGCACGTGCTTCGACCAGTGATCGGCTCCTCCCCCTGATGCGCTGTTGCTCCCCTTTGATGGCGGGGGTAAGGCTGTGAGGGATTGACAGTAACCATACACTATCTCTTCCGCCGAGAACCGTGTGTGAGAAAGGCAGAACTAAAGAGTGCGAGAGGAATGTGATGGTGCTCTTGGTGGGTGCAGTCATGGTGGGTCTGTGTGGCATCACCTACTTATAGAGGGTCCGTACACGCGCCGTAGCGCAATGGCCAATGGCAATGCCGCGCGCGTGCTGCTGAGCTGGGGCTGCGCGCGGGCGATTTGTTTTTTGTCCACGAGGGAGAGAGACATCGGCGTTTTGTACGACAGTCTACAACACGACTCCACACGTCCATGCACACGTCCCGACGTCGTAGTAAACGACTCCCACTCCTCCACAGGAATGTAACTCAACACGGCCTGTCTGCCGCGTGGCCCCCATCGCAGGGGCAAGGCACCCGCAGCAACGCGAGCTCCTCGGGATTGGCCTCCACCCTGCTCAGGTCGCCAAAGGCCCGCAAGCTGCTCTCCAGCCGCAAGCACAGCTCGCCCAGCGTCACGTCGCAGCCCGTGTCGTCCTCCACTGTTGGCTCCGCCGCGCAGATGCACCCGTCGCAACCGCAGCCGCACTTGTACCGCTTGACGACGTGCTCCTTCGCCTCGCCGAGCGACCGCATCAGCGACAGGATGGGAATGTCTCCCGCCTTCGCCTCTACCCCCCCTGCCTCCTCGCCGCCTTCGCCGCCGCCGCCAAGCACGTGCCCGCGCAAGCCAAGCCGCTCGAGCGCGCCCAGTAGCGCCTGAGGCTGCAGCGTGCTCCCGCCGTAGCACACCGCCCTGCAAGAGCGAAGGTCGACGGATGCGCGCGAGACGGCAGGCACAGCCGCGAGAGCGTGCTCCGCCTTGGCGCGGCAGCCTCCGCACATCATGCCACCGACGCGCAGCGCGACGCACACGTCCGCCCCGCCACCTGAGCCGCCGCCGCCCGCCGAACCGCCGCCGCCCGCCGCATGTTCGCCGGCCGGCAGCGTGGCGGCGGCAGAGGGAGGGCCGATGGGCAGGAGCGGCTTGCCCTCCGGCCGGAGAGAGGCGATAGCGCGGCGCAGCCTCGCGCGGTCGCCGATGGCGGTGACGGAGCAGGCATCGAGGATGGCCTGTGCACAGCGGGGGTGGCGTGAAGAGGCGGCATGAAGAGGCGAGGCGCAACACGCTCCGCGAGGCAGGAGCACCTCGACGCCGACGTCCTCCTCGCCGAGGAGGAGGTCTGCGAAGCTGTCGAAGTGGGCTGCAAACGCAGCTGCGTACCGGCCGTACCGCCCGCCGCCTATAGGAAGGTTCCGAGAAGGTTCATGGCTCCCGCCGTACCGCCCGCCGCCCTCCTCGCCGCCCTCTTTGCCGTCGGTTTCGAGGGAGGCGAGCCAGCTGCGCAGCGGGCCCGCAGACAGCGGGCTTGCGGAGGGCAGCGGTGCGGCGGGCAGCGGAGCGGCGGGCGGCGGGGCGGCAGCGAGGCCGAGGCGCTGGCGACGCAGCTGCTGGCCATCCTGAGCCGTCCCACCGCAACACGCCGCAGACACGGGCGCCGCCTCGGCCGGTGGGGAGGGGGAGCCCTCGGCCTGTGGCGGTTGCTGCTGCGGCTGCTGCTGCTGCTGCTGCTGCTGCGGCGGCGGCGTCGCCGGCTCCGGCCGCGGCGGCTGCGGCGAAGGCGGCGATAGCGGCGGCTGTGGCGTCGGCGTTGGCGGTTCAGAAGCCGGCGATGGCGGTGGCGAGGCTCGCGGCGGCTGCGGCGGCTTCGGACCTTTTCTGCGGTGCGCAGCCTTGGCGCCTCTCCCCCGCGCACCTTGCGCCGCGGCGGTGGCCGCCGTTGTAGTAGATCCCTGCGGCTCGTCCTGCCTCTTGCGGTGCCGCGCCGACCGTGCCGCCGGCGCCTCGTCAGCACCCCGCCACCTCCGCCGCCGCCACAGGGCCACCGCAGCCAAGCCAGCGAGGAGAGAGGAGAGCGCGGCGGTGGGCCAGAGCGACGCCTCCGCGGCCGGTGCCGGGCTCCAAGACACCCGGCGGCGCGATGAGGCTGCGGCCGCCTCCAGCAGCGCCGCGTTAACCTCGTGGCCGGCAGCGAGAGCCGCCTCACGGCACGCCTGCCGCGTGTCCGTCGGCTGCTCCCTCGCCCAGAGGAGCAGCCAGCCGGGCCGCACCAGCGCGCCGCCGCACAAGTCGGAGAGGTAGGTCGCGTCGCTGCCGTCCGTGTGCAGCGCGGAGCCGTTCGGTAGCCCGAAGAAGCCGCGGCGGGGCGTGCCGCCGCTCAGGTTGCCGACGAAGTACGACCCGTCCGGGAACAGGAGGTGGGCGGGCCCGTGCGGCACTCCGCCTGCCCAGCCGCCATAGTAGGACCAGCGGCCCTCCTCCTCCCACAGCGAGAAGCCGGAGCCGTGCGCCGCGACGCTCTGCCGCGCCTCCTCCTCCACGACGTCGCCTCGGTAGAGCCACCGGTCATGCTTGTGCGAGGTGAGGGCAAAGCGGACGCCGGGCTCCACCCACCACGAAGAGGCCGCGTCGCTGGGCACGGCTCTTGCGCGGGTCCTCACGCCGTGGTCCCACCCCTCCGCGCGCCAGGACCCGTTGACCAGGCAGCGGAACGCGCCGTGCTTGCTCCCCTTTGACCAGGCGCCGACGCAGGTCGAGCTCTGGTGCGACAGCGTCTCGACGCCGCGCCCCTCCCGCAGGCCGTCGCGCCACATGCCGTCGTGGGTGATGGGGTTGCCGCGGGGGTCTTTGCTCGTGAGAGCTCCGCGGCCGTGCCACCGCCCTCGATGGAAGGAGCCAGTGTAGAGGGCGCCGCCGCCAAAGCGCTCGACTCCGAAGCCAGAGAGGAGCAGCTCCGCCTGGCCGAGAGCGGGAGTGCCGTCGGCGAGGTGGCCCAAACGAAGGAGTGGGGCCACCGGAGGCATATCCGAGGACGGACAGAGGGTATTAGCCCCACGGCGTCCTGTGCCCACAACGCGCTCGGGCCAGAGAGAGGGAAAAAAGTATCGCCGCGGGGCGCGGCAAGGGCGTGGACTGGCGCACACTAGCACACACAAAAGAAAAGAAAAGAAATATTTTAATCCCTCACAACGGGACCTCGCGCACTGGCACAACACAGGTACACCAAAAAAGAAACAAAAACGTACACGCGCACGGCTTCACACGCCAGCCGTAAACTAAAGCGCCGGAGTGCCCGCCGTCGCCCGCAGATGCTTCGCCCGGCATGACCGTCTCGCCGCACGCCGCCGGGCGCGGCGCCAGTGCGAGGCCCTGGAGGCCGTCGAGGCCGTCGAAGCGGACGGCTGAGAAATACGTAGAGATGGGAGAGGAGCTTCCCCCTGCGGAGTGCGAGGAGCCCCACGCGGCGTCTGAGCATCGAATGGTCGTGCTTGGCTCGGCACAGAGACCGGCACGCCCTCATGCACAACATGCACATGGACATGGACATGTGGCAGATGACGTGCCCCCGGCCGCGGCCCCGGCCGCGGCCCCGGCGGCGGATAAACTCACCTGCCGGCGAATGATACCAATGTGCCTCGCCTGGAATGCGCTGATGGTCCTCCTCCTCTTCGCCTTCGCCGCCCTCGCCGTCGGGCCTGCCCAGCGAGGCGCCCTGCCAGTCATCACTCCCGTCTTCGGCATGCTCGGCTTCATCGCACCGCCGCCGTCGCCGCCGCCGCCGTCGCCGCCGCCTCCGCTACCGCCGCCACCCTCCCCGCCGCCGCCCTTCCCGCCGCCGCCCTCGCCGCCGCCGTGCGACTGGGCGAGAGGGATGGTGCTGTTGGACGGCACCGAGGAGAGCGCGCTTCAGCAGATAGTCGGAGCGTCTAGCGGCAGCCGCTGGTGCAAGTCGCTCAACGGCAACGAGGCAGCGTGTCGCAACGCCTACATCGCGCGCGACGACCAGGCGGGCGGCCGGGTCTATAGCCGGTGCGAGTATTACGGCTCAACTTGCAGAGCATCTGGAGAGCAGCTCCACTGCCTCGCGCCGCCGCAGCCGCCGCCAGCCCCACCGCCGCCGAGACCACCACCGCCGCCGTCTCCGATGCCGCCGATGCGCGGGCAGGATTGCGAGCGGTGCCGGCTGTGCGAGGAGCTGCTCAAGGACGCGTCCTTCGTATTTCGCGCGATGTGGGGCTCCGAGCCGTGGCACAAGTGGGACCCGGCGCAAGGGCTGCGGGGGTCCTGCTTTGAGCGGCAGAGGGACAACCACGCGCAGTGGCAGCACGCAGACACCTACTTTGCCGACACGGTTTCGGGCACCCACTGCTACAACAACTGGTACGAGGGTAACTCCGGCGACCTCGGCGTCGCCCACCAGCCGCCCCACTTTGCGCACCCCGCGCCAGCGCTGCTCGGCTTCGACGAGTCGATAGAGTGGTTCTGCTCCAACGCGGGCGGGACCGAGTCTGGCCACGCCGAGAAGTGCGTGCAGGCATCGATCAACATGCTCGCGCTCTTCGGGCGGCGGGTGCCCTACAACATCTGCCGCAACCTCGAGTGGCAGGTGTGCGCAGCGCAGGGGCGGCTGCCGGGGCAGGGACGGCGCGGCATCATCTTCGCGCACGCGCCCAACCAGCTCGACTTTCGGAACTCGCCCCGCCTCGGCCACTGCTCGGGTTGGAGCGGCAACAAAAACTGCCGCGGCAACAACGGCTACTCCACCGACTCGATCTTCTTCCTCGAGGTCTGTCTCTACAGCAAGATGTGCTCGAACCGCGCCGATCTCTTCAACCTGCGCGCCGGACAGGAGTGGCACTGCGACTTTGACCAGTACGCCTTCCTCGACCTGTCGCGCATCCTGAGGACGCCGCCCGAGAGGAGGAGGGGTGTAATCGGCTAGTTGCTCGGAGAAGCGCTGGCCCTCTGGAATTCTAGGTGAGAGGGCTCCCGTTTGCCCGTCGTGAGAGAGGCGTGAGCGAGCCGCCTTAGTTGTGGTGTGTGCAAGAGAGAGACCGCGACGCCGGTCGAGAGAATGAGAGAGAAACTATTGGTCTCGGCTCTCGCGAGGTCGCAGAGTTGAGAGCAATCCAAACATAAACTCGTTGCTTCAAGTGCTCGAGAGCACGCGGTGTCCCCGTTTCTATTGATTTCGATGCCCGACCTCCAAATTGGCCGCTGCTATTTACAATAATGCGCGCGGGCGATCTGTGGGTGACTCACTGAATGGTTGGGTAGTAGGGCTAGAGGGTCGCTCTACACTTAGCCTCTGCAGCGAGCGAGCGCTCAACTTAGCCCCCGCACGGAGCCGGGCTCGGACTTAGACGCTGTATGGTCGGGGGCCATGAACTTAGACGGCACAAGGCCAAATCCGGGTAAAACCCGGGTATACCTGCAAAAGTCCAGGTTTACCCGAAAAATACCTGGACGCGTCCCGACCAACGTATGCCGCGCACGACGCCATATCGCCTTGTCCCAGGGCCAGTGCGCTACTTGCGGCGCGCAACTCCTGCTCAAGTACGCGCACCGTACCATGTGCTGCCGCTATGCGTGTCTTAAGGCGGCTGCGGCGAAGCGGCGGGCGCGGCATGCCGATGGCAGTGCGGACGATGCGGTTGCGATGTGTTCTGCTTCAAGATCGTGGCGGTGCTTGGCATGCACTTCTGCGATCCCAATCAGCTCATCGCAACGAAGCAGCGCAACAAGCTGGCTGCTGCCAACAAGGCCCTATGCTAGATCTACCTCACGCGCGGATCGTTCAAAGAGGACCAGCATACACAGGCTTCCTTGACATGCGTTTGTTTGAGCTTGAGGCTATTTGTGAGAACTGTTTGGCTTGAAGATTGCGCTCAAGAAGAGCAACGAGAATCGGAAGAGGAGGATGCTGAGGCGGCGATTGCTGAGCATGAGAAGGATCGATCCGGATTAGAAGGCGCCCGCCGCAGGCGAAGAAAATTTGGGGGCTAGCGCCGTGTATGCGTATCGTTGATCACGGTGGGAGCCTCTTGGCCCCAGGCTGTGCCACGGCCGACTTAGCCGATGTAAGAGGCTCTCGCTGATCTTAGACCGCGTAAGCACCCCAGCGTGACTAGTCACACTTAGACCCGCTCAGCCTCGAGGCTCAGAACTTAGACTACTACCCAACCAGTACTCACTGACGTGTGACGATCCGATGTGGATTGTGGTCCCCATGTGGATGTGCTAACCCCACACACTTAGAGCCGTATATCACATTGATTCGCCACACACGTGACAACCTGTACGCACACCATGCGCATGAGATGTCTGTCCATGCCATAGATGGCAGGCAAGTGAAACATAGTGCGCGTTACTCTGTCCGCGCGCAAGTTGGCGAGTTGGCGACACACGCAAGCAGCGCCGCTCTTACAGCGCCCGCCCTAGGCTCGCCCAACCCAGTGAGTGCCTCCGGCCTCGCCCTTGATGCACTCCGGCAGCGCCTCCTCGGGGCCAGCGGGAGTGCAGATAGCGCTCAGTAGTGAGAGCCGTTCGGCGGCACGCTCACGGTGTCCGCGCACGCGAGGGCAGGCAGCGCCGTCGAGCGAGTGAGCCGCCCCGTCGACCACCTTTGCGAACCAGTAGGCTGCCCTGCTCGGGTCCTTGGGCAGACCATACTGCCCGGCGAGGAACCACTCGCCGAGCCAGTTCGACGCGAACTCGAGCCCGCCCACCGCGGCCGCCGAGATGAGGCTCAGCCCCTGCGGCACGTCCGCATCCACACCCCTGCCGCCGACAAGGCACAAGCCGGCGCTCGCGTAGGCATAAAGTGAACCCAGTTCGGCGGCCCGCCTGCACCAGCGGAAGCCCTCCGCGTGCGACATCGGGAGCCCCATCTGGCCCGTGTGATGCCAGGCGCCGAGCTTGAGCATCGCGTCGACCTCACCCGCCTCGGCGCGGCGCCGGATCTCGGCGACCGTGGCCTCGTGTCGTATGCGCTCGATCCAGCTGTCAGCGAGGTCGTCAACGAGGCCGCTCCGCACAAGCTCCTCGATCGCCGAGCGGCACTGGTGGGGCGAGGAGGCGGAGTGAGTGACAGGGACTCGATCGCCGAGGGCATTGGCGCTCGTGAGGGCGACGGCAGCAGAATTTTAGCTGTGTGCGTGCGAGCCTGCAGCGCCGGAAGTAGCCGCTCGCCAATCGGCAGGTTGGTGATCGGTGACGTCGACCGATGCTGCAGCCACATCTCGATGCTACCACGCTCGTACATAAAGCCGTCTTCCGCAATAACCGGGTCAAGCGGCAGCTCCTTCTTTATTGGACACAGGAAGCCCTCGGCGATACGACGACAGGTGCACGGAGGAGCGGGAGCCGGAGGCGTGACGGGCAGGGCGACGCAGCAAGCGGCCATAGCGTAATGTGGCGGAGGCCAAAGAGCGTGCCAAAGGGGATCGCGCGCCGCCCGGAACGAGTTGCCTGGTTGTTCCAAAAATGCGGCGTTGGCTGGTGTGTTTTTTCTTTCTTTCTGATGGCGTGAATTGATCTCGCCAATAAAAAATAATGATGATATGCTAGTCCCCGAAGTGAGACAGATTATCGGGAGGACGACCCGGCTAGCCGACCCCCCCCCCCCCACAAAAAAAAAGAAGTTGCACAAACATCGCACGGGCCTGGACCTGTTCCTTTTCACCCATCTCCAGTAGTGTGCAGTGAGTCGTCCGTTTTATTTATTTCCCCCGGCGGCTGCGCCTACACGCCCGCCCGTTGGCCTGTGGTGCACTGTGGATTTTCCTCCATGCAAGATGGAATACCGCCCAGAAGCGCCAGAGTCCAGAGAGAGAGACGAAATGTCACAAATGATTGTGTACTAGTATACGAACAGCTAGAAATCCTACCTCGATAAGATCCCTACACCAGGGGCCCACTATCCATCTCTCGTCAGAGTTTGACCGTTTCGCTATTGTTAGCTGCCCGGGCTCTGCTCCGCCGCCGCCGGGCCGCCGCTCACGAGGAGCGGCTCCGCGCCGGCATTCTGCGCCGGCCGCGAGGCGACGGGCCAGGTCCGGCCGGAGGGGCGCGTCCCCGCCTGCCACAGCAAGAGGGAGGCGACGAGCCAGCCCTGGAAGATCCACGCCGAGTGGGCGGCGGGGGAGAGGAAGGAGAGCGCACACGGCCTCCACCCGCCCACGTCGCGCCACGGAGTCTCGTGCGTCGTGTGCGCGTCGCCGAGCGAGTACATCAGCCCGACCGAGACGCAGAGCCAGCCGAGGGAGAGCGCGGCGTGCAGCACGGCGCGGCCCCAGCCCGGAGGGAGCGCGCGCCCGGCGACGCGGCTGGCAAGCACCGCGCCGAGCATGCCGATGACTGGCACGTAGGTGTTGCTGCCGCAGCACCACTTGAAGGCTGCAATCTCACGCGCGGAGCACCGCCATTGCGGCTCCTCCGGCCGGTAGCCGCACCGCCACTCGAGCCGATCCGCGCTGCACGAGGCGTCAACAAAGGGGTCGAAGACCGAGTCGCGGCCGGGCGAGTACTCTTGCCTCCGATCGAGCGTGAGGAGGGCGCAGAGGACGTTGCACGTGAAGAGCAGCCGCGACGTGCCCAGCCACTCGACCGCGAGGAAGAGCGGCGAGAGGAGCAGCCACGCGAAACGCTGCAGCGCGTCTGGCGCGGCGCGCTTATCGTAGACGGTCTGCAGCACCGCGAGCCAGCCCCAGCCGTCCTCGAGCATCGCCGCGCGGTCCGACTCGGAGGGCAGGAAGGCGAGGACGTGCAGGAGGAGGTAGAGGAGCGTCGCCCACGGGATTGAGAGCCTGCTGACCGCGCAGCGCATCGTCGGAAAGAAGGGTGGAATGAGTACACGCCGGAGCGTACGGTGCGGCTCCCTCGGCGAGACTGACTGCTCAGCTGTTCCCACAGCAGGCTGGAAGTACCTCGCCAGGGCTCTCTGTCATCACCGCGCATCGCCCTACCTAGCATCCTACCTAGCATCGGCGCGTCGGCCAGATGTAAAACAGAGTGTGAAGAGGCGCGGGGACGCTGGCGCCTGGCGTGGCGCTGCACCACGCTCTCGGTCATCATCATGCATCGCCCTGGCCCGCCGCGCGCTGGCCGCGCGACCGCGACCGCGGCACTCACACGGATTACTGTGCCTTCCCCGGGTGCAGCCTTTCGGTTCGTGAAGGGTCGGTGCGAGTCGTGCTTCCTCGATCCCCCGCCCTCCCCCGCCATCTCCGCCGCTTTGTTTGTGGGACTTATTGGACTAGGGTCATACGTCCGGGAGGCCCCCCATGCGTGCCGTAACGAGCCACGGTGTTGGTATGACTCTGTTCAAGTTCACAGCCTTAGAAGAAAATACCTCGTATGGCGGTGTGCGCTGGCCTGTTCACACCTCAAGAAAGAGGGGAACTCCGATCTAGGGCCGGCCCGCCCCTTGACGCGCGGAGGGCCGGGTCCGCCCTTCCTCAAGGATCCGCGCGATGAGCAAGCCAAGCCTCCGCGCGAGCGTGGCCGCCGCGCTGTCGTCCATCACGCCGGCGCAGCGCGCCTCTCAGTCCGCCGCCGTGCTCGAGCAGCTGCGCTCGGTGCCCGCCTTTGCATCCTGCACCGGCGCAGCCTCGATATACCTTCCGATGGAGGGGGCGTGCAACGAGGTGGACACGTGGCCCATCGTCGCCGACCTGCTGGCGCGCGGCGTTCGCGTCGCCGTGCCGCGCGTTTGCGGCCGCTCGCCGACCGACATGAAGATGCTCGGCCTGAGTGGCGACTTGGAGGCGGCAAAGGCGCTGCCGCGCACCAAGTGGGGGATCCCCGAGCCGGACGAGGCCGCGGCCGCCTCGATGGAGGACCTGACCGAGAGCGAGGACCTCTCGCTCCTCCTCGTGCCCGGCGTCGCCTTCGACGCGCGCTGCGGTCGGCTCGGGCACGGGCGAGGCTACTACGACGCCTTCATCTCGCGGCAGCGGCGGCTGCAGGGCGGAGGGCGGCCGCAGGTGATTGGGCTCGCCCTGAACGAGCAGATCGTGGAGGCGGTGCCGATGGGCGAGCTGGACGAGCGCCTCGACGCCGTCGTCTCTCCGCAGGCGAGAGAACCTTCTAGGAACCTTCCAGCGCGGAACCCTCTAGCGGAGCCTTCTGTGAGCCTTCAGTCGAGGCGCGATTGGTCGACTCTCGGCTCCACCTCTGCTGACACGCGTCGGCTCGCACGCTCCGCAGGGGGAGCTGCGCTTCACGTCGGAGGCGGATGGAGCAAAGGCGGCCCGCCTGCTGCAGCGGGGCGAGGGTGCGCCGGCCGAGGGCGCGGGCGCGGGCGAGGCGGCGGCCCTCTCCTCGCGGGTGGAGATCGCCGTCGGCCGCTTCAAGTACGCCTGCCTGCGCGTCTCTCCCCCGCCAGGCTCCGGCGGCGCGCCCTTCTTCGCAGTGCGGTCGGGGCGCGGCTCGTACCACGCCGACGTGGCCGAGGCCGGCGGCTAGTCGACCGTGCGGAGGCGCCGCTCGGACCCCGCTCAGACCCCGCTCTCGGACCCTTCCCCTCAGGCGGCCATCAACCGCTTCGAGGCGCTCGGCTACCGCTGCGAGCCCCTCGGCGGCGGCCGGATCGTGCGGAGCGACGGCGGGCCTGGCGGGGCGAAGCCGCACAGCTAGCGGCTCGCTTGCCCGTGCGCCCCTCCGTGGAGCCTTGCCCGAGCCTCCCTGCAGGCGAGCGTGCACATCTACGGCTACTCGGTCGGCTTCGGAGGAGCGGAGGGAGGGCCGCCTGGCCGCGGCATGCGGGACCACGCTGCAGTCGCCGAGCTGGTCGCGCAGGCGCTGCCGAGCCACTCGGTCACCCACTCGTCCGACGGCTACTGAGCGTTCAGAGCGAGCACACCCGCGCCGTAGTCCCCGGTCCTGGGCGCGCAGAACACGAGTGCGGCCCCCGGTTGGGACTCAAGTGCGCGACGCTACCGACGCAGACGGAGGACGATCGAACCGCTTGTAGTTTGTTTCAATAGTATTTGTTGCGGTAATCCTAATCGTGCGCGTCATCGCAGCGGATTGGCGACGCCGGTCGCCGCACTTCCACTCGTTGCCACGCGTCCCGCACGACCGCACGCTCGGGGCCAAAAACACGCAAAGACTGAAAGAGTCTTTCAAAGCAAAGAGAGCGATCTCAGCCACGCGCGACTCGGAAGGATCTCTCGGACACCGAAGAGGAAAGGAAACCACAAATCAATCACTCTACCAGGTTAGCCCCCCAAGTGCGGGCGGATGTAGCCCCCCCCCCCCCCCTTCAGCCGCGCCGGCTGGTCAGCTTCCGCCCGCCGCGCGGCGCCGCCTTTCTGACGGCGGGCGCCTCGGCGCCGCCCGCCGCGCCGCTCACCGGTGCGCTCAGCTCGGAGGAGAGCAGCTCGTGGGTCAGGTCGGAGGGCTCGCCTGTTCACAGCTAGAGGTGTGAAGAGACGCTGTTCACAGCTCGTGGGTCAGGTCGGAGGGCTCGCCTGTTCACAGCTAGAGGTGTGAAGAGACGCTGTTCACAGCTCGTGGGTCAGGTCGGAGGGCTCGCCTGTTCACAGCTAGAGGTGTGAAGAGACGCTGTTCACAGCTCGTGGGTCAGGTCGGAGGGCTCGCCTGTTCACAGCTAGAGGTGTGAAGAGACGCTGTTCACAGCTCGTGGGTCAGGTCGGAGGGCTCGCCTATTATAGTTATTATCATCATTATCGTTATCATCATCATCATCATCATCATAATAAAATTATTATTATTCTTCTTCTTGCTCACCCTCGAGCGACTTCGACACCTCGAGCCCTCGGCCCGACAGCGAGGCGAGCACCGCGCCTACTCGCGGGCGACATCGCGCAATCTCGCGCACTGGCCGCGCCCTCTCGGTGTCGGCGGCCTCAGGCGAGCACGGCGCCTTTGCACGACGCATGCAGCATCTTCGCGCGCACCGCCGCGCCCTCAGGGCACGAGTACAGGAAGAGCAGCGGCGCGCCTGAGCTCGGCAGCTCGCTGCTCAGCCCGTCGCTCGCAGCAGCGCGTACCGCGGCCATATCTCGGCTGTCTCTGGGGGATCTCTCGACCTCTCTGTCTCTCGGCTCTCGGCTGTCTCTCGGCTGTCTGTCGGCTGTCTCTCGGCTGTCTCTCGGCTGTCTGTCGGCTGTCTGTCGGCTGTCTGTCGGCTGTCTCTCGGCTGTCTCTCGGCTGTCTCTCGGCTGTCTCTCGGCTGCCTCTCGGCTGTCTCTCGGCTGCCTCTCGGCCGTCTCTCGGCTGTCTCTCGGCTCTCGGCTGCCTCTCGGCTGCCTCTCGGCTGCCTCTCGGCTGCCTCTCGGCTGCCTCTCGGCTAGACCGCCCTCGCTGCTGTGCCGCAGCAGCGCGTAGCACGGCTCGGCGGAGGGAAGCACCGACGAGAGCGGGGCGCCTAGTACCATACCTCCAGAGTACCGAACCCGGTGTGGGTTCTGCTCCGTGGGTGGTGCGGTACTGGGCTGCCCGAGGCCAGGGGCGGCAGCGAGGGCGAGTCGAGCAGCCCGATGGTCTCACCTACCCACCGCACTCGACTGACCTCCACGATTTCTTTTTTTTTGGGTCTCGCGAGGTCGGCTTCTTCTCTCTCGCCGTCGACGTGCAGCAGGAGAAGGTCGCGGCCGCCGCTCTCGAACGCCGTCAGCGCGGTGGCGGCGGCGGCGGTGAGCGGGAAGGCGAGGGACGCAGAGGAAACCTGCCGAGGGGAGGGCGGGTGGGCTAGCCGAAGTCTCAGGGGAGGTGGGTGGGTGGTCTGGCCGAAGTCTGAGGGGAGGGTGGTCTGGCCGAAGTCTGAGGGGAGGGCGGGTGGCCGAAGTCTCAGGGGAGGGTGGGTGGGCTAGCCGCCTTGCCGGAGGCGGCTTCGACGGCGGTTGCTTTGGCGTCCTCGAGCGCCATCCTCTCGGTGCCTGTCATCAGCGCGAGGGTGGCCTTCTCCTCGGTCGGCGCCGCGAAGAGCGCCTCCACGTCCGCCTCGCCCTTCCCCGCCCAGTGCGCCTCGTACGACAGAGAGCCGAGCGACGCAAACGCCTTGCGGAGCGCCTCGCGGCCGGAAGAGTAGAGCATCTTGTCGCGCACGCCGGCGGCGTCGGGCACCCAACTGGCGAGCGCCCACTCGCTCTGCAGCGAGAGCAGCAGGTAGCACGGCGCCCGCTCGTCCAGCAGCGGCGTGATCGCAGCCTTGAGCAGCGCGGGCACCGACACCGTGGGCAGCGTCTCGCCGAGCTCAAAGGTCTCGTTGCGGATGTGGATCTGCAGCCCGCCGACAGCAGCACCGCCGCAGGCCCGCTGCAGCTCCGATTGAAGCTTGTCCGAGACGCCGAAGGAGGTGGAGTGCATTTGTGGAACGCGAGCGCCGCGGCAGCGGCCGCCTGCTGTCGCCAAGTGACAAAATAAGAATCTTACAACAAAACTCCCTCGCACAACACTGGGCACGGGACTGGCGCGCACTGGCACGAACACAGGTACACCACGGTTTTACAACAACACTCCCTCGTACGACACTGGGCACAGGACTGGGCACGGGACTGGCTCGCACTGGCACTAACACAGGTACACCACGGGAGCCGCCTAAGCGACTCCTGCGAGGGTGGCGAGGCACTTAGCTCCGTGCACCCGCCCACCCCCGCCACACAAAATAAGAATTTACACGGCGCCATTCATATTAAATAGGCAGCAACTGTATGGTTCTTGCACGTGTGCAAGATTGGGCGTCTTCTGCAGCAGTCCCTTTGATGGGAGGCCCCAGGGTGGGGGCCACCTCGAACCCCCAGCCAGGGATTCGAGCGGAGGGTGCCCCGGATTCATCTATCCGTTGGGCCGGGGAGGGGAAGGCAGCCTGACCATACCCCTGGAGAGGGCCGCCCGCCTGAGACCATACCCCCCCCCCCCCTCGACCCGCCGGCCGCCGCCGGCGGCCGGGACCTTATCCCCCCCATCCCCCTCTGAAGCTCCTCAACCGTCTACCAAGGATGGCTGCCCTTTGTGTATTGACGCCATCGGGCTGAAGGCTATGGCTGCACTGCAGCGAGCTCAGCCATCCTTAGGTAAGATGGCTGTGTGGGAGCGAGCACAGGGAATGTGTGTGGAAGCAGTATGGCTGAGCCATACTGCTTCCACATTCCGAGGCGTTAGCCCACTGTTGCGGACAGCCCTCTACCCTTCATGTCTTCCCCACCGACGCTGTCGTGGGATCGCTTTTCATGCGCGCGTTTCTTTCTTTTTTGGTGTTCCCGTGTTAGTGCCGGCACGGGCGGCGAATAAGAATTCTTTCTGCGCCGCCCACCGGCTCCCGCTCACGGCCGATCTCGAAAATACACACACATGCACACATGTACATGTGTATACAACAACAACAACAACAACAACATGTAACATGTACATGTACATGATATTGGGGCCTCTTCGCCACCGTGGCCGGCGGCAAGATGCATCGCAATCTCCACGGCCGGCGAGGCGCGTGCCCAGGAGTGGCTGAAGAGCGTCGACGGCCCGTCGAGCAGCTGCTTCGAGCCCGCCGCCGCCGCCGCCGCCAGCGGCTTTGCGACGGCGGCGGCGGCCGTGGCGGCCACGCCGGTCGCCTGCGGCGCGATCGGCGCGGCTCCGCCCCCGGTTTACGCCATGCATCGGCCGTCGGGCCCGGGCGCCTTCAAGCGGCCTCGGCGGAGTGTGGGCGCGCCGTCGGCCGCACAGGCGAGCGGATACTAAGGCCGCGAGCTATGCAGGTGGTCAATTGTGCAGCAGGGCACGGTCAGCAGCGCCGACAGGCTGTCGCAAGGCGTGATAGCATGGCCGCAAGTACGGCGAATTCCTATGTGCTATGTCCAAAACAAGTGAAAAATCGCGCAAAAAAAACTCAAAAAATCGGCGCCTGCGGCGGGCCGTGGGACCCCATCTCCCCCCCGCATGGATACCCTCTATCTAGGGCCCCCGCCTCCCCCCAGAGCCTGAGTTATGTGCGCCCGATGCGGTATTTGGCAACAACGATCAACGTGTGCCGACTCCCGCCGCCGATTTTCAATGTATGTGGCTCTTACGTACATTCCCGGAGGAGGACTGCTGACAGGGGTTTGCGATGAGGAGTGACCCGAAGGGTTTCATTTTTCTTTGTTCAACGCGATTTTTCTTCCCTCACCAGGGTAGGACCGTCCTACCTTACCAAACCTATAGGACTATATCGGCGACCGGTGGAAGCGTGATGGACCCGCAAGTTTCCGGAGACACGCTTCAATCCATCGGGCACGGCGAGAAGGTCACGGCGACAAGATCGAGCTCCACTGACTGCTCGTGGTGTACTCGCCGCGCACAAAACTCATCCGCCATGCTCCTCATAATAATTTCCGCTGCCGGCCACTCTCGCTTCGCCTGCCCGACCGCACGCTCGCCCGACACGGGCATCAAGAACGGCCCGTGCGGTGCTCAGCACGACGACTTCTCTGGCTCTGTCACGGCCGTCGCTCCGGGACCGCTCACCATCCACATCGAAGAGAGCATCACCCATCGCGGTTCGCCGTGGCGCATCTCGCTGAGCGCTGATGGCGACGACGACGAATCGTGCACGCTTCTCGATCACGTCCCGCACGACGACTCTTTTGCCGGGGCTGCGCCCGGCGACGAGTCAGGGTACCACTCACTCTACATCACCGTCGAGATCCCAGACGTGGCCTGCGAGCAATGTGCCCTACATCTCGCCAACCCTATGACCGATAAGATTGGGGACAGGGGCTCGCCGATAGGAGTGGGCTGCACCGAGCCGGGCACATGCTTCTCTGTGTACTACTCGTGCACGAGACCGCTGCGCATCAGCGGCAGCACGCCGCGCTCGCTTTACAGCTGCCCGAACAGCCCGCCTTCTGACTGGCCGACGTCGTGGACGGGAGATGGAGGCGCTGTGGTCCAGGCGACGCAGCCGCAAGTCTACCGGCGAGAGTCGGCGACGTGGGCTGACGGGTGGCTTCAGGATGCGCCAGCGAGGTACCGACAGCCCGCGGGGCAGTGCGTCGATGTGCCGCCACAGTCGCTGCCGCCGCCACCGCCACCCTCGCCCTCGCCCTCGCCCTCGCCCTCGCCCTCGCCCTCCCCTTCTCCGCCGGCACCCGAGCCATCGCCGGAGATTCTGCCGCCCTCGGCACCGCCTCAGCTGCCCTCGCGTGCGCCACAGCGACCGCCATCGCCTGTTTCGCTGCCTCTGTCCTCGCCTCCGCCTCCACGGCCCTCGCCTCCATCTCTGCCACAGTCGCCATCGAGTCCGCCTCCACCACCACCACCCTTGCCGCCGCCGCCGCCGCCACCACCACTGCTTCCATCGCCGCTGCAGTCTGATGCGAGTCTCGCCTCCGTGCCGTCTGGCTCTCGAGCCGACACGCTCGCCCTGGCGGTGGCCTTGCCACTCGCCGCCCTACTCGCGACGGCAGCAGCTACGATCGTCTTGTGCCGGAGGCACAGCACTCGGGGTGCCAAGGCCGCAGTGTCGCTGCGCGAGACGACCAGCGCTCGGCGCAAAGGGGCTCCCTCTTTTGCGACGATGTCGGCCGAAGGGGAGGGTCATCCTTCGTGGACGCTTGTGACATCAAAATTGTGAGTCATGTGGCAACGTGTGGTTCGCGTCTTTTTAGCTAGCCTTCGATGTTATGAAACAAACGCAAGGCGGACACACACATGTCACACACATGACGCATCGCTCTCGGGCCCACACACAGACATCCCGCACACCCGCCGCCCCCGCGCGCGCCCCACCCCGGCCGGGAGAAAGGGGAGGCAACAGTACTTGGAGCACTTGGAGTGCAGTCATTAACCTCACATCCAGGGCCGGGGAGCTAAGAAGCGCACCCAGCGGGCCGGATGATCGGCATCGCACTTGGAGCACTTGGAGTGCAGTCGGTAACCTCACATCCAGCCAGGGCCGGGGAGCTGAGGAGCGCACCCAGCGGGCCGGATGATCGGGATCGGGTTACGGGCTAGAGAGCCCTAGCCCCGGGGGTGCGCGTTCGCAGGGAAAGGGCCGTAAAATAACACGGGTCTCCGAGGGTTAGTTCCGTGTACCGGGTTTCCCCTTAATTAACTGCAGAACGCGCACCGGGTTTCATTTTTTGTGCGTTGTTCGCCGTCCAGTTGGCTGGCGGCACCCTCTCGACCCTGGGCAACTCGCTGCCGTGAGCCCATAGCAGCTCGGCAATGATGGACGGGTTCAGCTCTCCGGACGGACACAGCAGCACCTCGCTGCGCGAAGAGGAGCGCACCGCGTGGCTGCTCAACTCGCTCACCGACCGCAAGGCAGCAGAGGCTTCCGCGGCCCTCTTCTACTGGGTGCGCGCGGCGAGGTACGAGCCGACGCCTGGTGAGCGCGAGCTTCTAATGGAGTGCGAGAGGCGTGCGTCACGCGGGGCGGGCATCGCCGCGCTCGGGGGCGGGCTGGCCGGCTCGCTCCTCAGTCGCTCGCTCAAGATGCCGACGCCGCAGCGGATCGTGCTCGGGATGACCGGCGCGCTGGTCGGCCACGGACTCGCCACATTCCGCTCGCACGCACCTTCGCTGGCTATGCTGCTGCAGCACGGCGCGGAGGCTCGCTCGAGCGGGGACTCGTCGCCACTCGCCGAGCAGGCGAGGAGAGAAGAGAGAGGAGAGGGGCGGAGGGAGAGGGAGGGAGGTGAGGTGCTCGCGGGAAGCTCGCCCACCTTCCTCTCGGGGCCGGTCCTAGGCGGAGCGGATCCTGCAGCTGGGCGGACGGCAGGCGGTGCGCACCATCCACCGCAACCTCGCCGCCAGCCTCTCGCAGCAGCAGGGCGGGCAGCAGCAGGGCGGGACGGAGGGCGGAGGAGAGGGCGGAGGAGAGGGCGGCGGGGCGGAGGCGCTGAGCCTGCTGAGGGCGAACCTGCTCGAGCTTCCCTCCGCGCTGCCGGGGGAGGCGGTGCGGCGGCGCGGCGGCAGCGCGGACGGAGTCGGCGAGGGCGTCGCCGAGGCGGCGGCGGAGGGCGGAGGGGAGGGTGGCGAGGGCGGCGAGGGAGGCCGGCTGGGGGAGGGCGGGTGGGACGAGATTCGGAGGCAGCAGCGGACGGCGAGGGAGGATGCGGAGGGGCGCGCCTTCCGGCTGGGAGAGCCGAGGCCCAGCGACGGCAGGCGGGAAGGGGCGCAGCGGCGAGGCGACGAGGCGGAGTGCGGCGCGCAGCCGGAGAGAGGTCGGCACGACCGAGGGACATGTCCGGGACATGTCCGGGACATGTCCGGGACATGTCCGGGAGACGTCATCGTGTGCCCGTCGGTAGGCGACTCCTCCTCGTGGGCCGATGTCCGCGCGCGCGCCGCCGCCGGCCGCGACCCTTCCGCCTCCTCGTCCGCATGGG